CTGTATTATCTCCAACATTTTTCCAGCATGAAATATCCTTTTATAAATAATAAACATGGTCATACACACTCTAATCCAACTACTACATCTTTGTACCTGCAATTTATATAAAATTACGTTGCCTCTCATTGAGAAAGCAACCCTAACTGTTTCAGTTTAAGGTTGATTGTTGCCTGTGTCCGTCTCATAAGTAGCGCTATAAATTTATTAGACGATGATCCTTGGGGGCCGGGGTCCCCAGTTACACAGTCTGTTAGTCAAAAGCCTGTTTACACCCGTAGGTGGTCTTATGCACAATGCACTAGCTTAATTATCTTTGGAACGTAGAGTTAATGAGCTGGAAGAGACATGCGACCAATTTTGTTGGTTAGGTACTTGCGAGGTGGTATACGGAAGACTACCTGTAAAAGGATTTTAATAATTATGTAAATGTTAACGTACTGAATTGAGTTATTTAAAAAAAAACGTGCGTTACAGAAACTATAGTGATATTTTGTTTGGTTTTACAGTAAAGTTTTCACCTTTTTAACCCTAATGTCTAGTTCATGAAGTTACACCGTCAACTTAAATAGTCTTTAGAGTGTAACAAAAAGGACACAAATATCAATTTAATTTAAAAGACAAACACGACTTGGTAATGGACATTAAGTTTCAAACTCACATCCCAGTTCTTAACATTTCAACAAATGCTTTTAGTTTCCTTTAGTGCCGAGAGATGGCGGTCTTATGCGAACGAACATTAGTTCTGTTCACGAGGCGCATCTAGCATTTCGATGTATGGTTTCATGTGTTAATTATAAACATAAATACGGTCGTCTGTTTGTTGGATACTTACTCATAAACCAGTACTGCATGCTTTATAATGAAAGTCGTTAGCAGACTAAATGAAATTTAATGGTCAACATTAAGAGCGTAAACTTCGGTAGTGTTACATTTAATTGACGTTTAGTAGGAGTTCCGTGACTGTACTGCAGTCCAAGTTTAGCTTGTGTTTGATGATGATGAGTTATTCTGGAGTATTTAATGAATAGATTTGCCTTCGATATAAAACAAATTATTATTTCTCTACGATTGTTGGTTGTACGATTGTGATTGTATGAGACTTGAGTTTTATTTAAAAATAATATGGATAAGTTAAGATTTCTTTTCAATAAATGACACGAATATTTCGATTATATTGATTGGTTAATACTTTGATTTGTTGTAATATCGTACTATCTAACATAACATCACACCTTTTATCCCCGAAGGGGTAGGCAGAGGTGCAAATAATGGTACTGCCACTGTACAGTGTAACTCCCACTTTTCATTATACCCAGTAATACTTTGCTCGACCCGGGAATCGAACTCAAGACGCCTTGTCCGGCATGAGCAATGAGCAATAACCATACACCTACTATCAAGTAATAACAGAGTAGCTACTAGTTTATTTCTTTGAAAAGTATTTTCTGAGACAATATTTTAAATATTTTATAAAAATCTTCTTCAAAGTACAATAGACGTTTCACAATAAAGGCCCATATTTTAGTAATTAGAGCTTTATAATCTATACATAACGTTTCATGTCAATTAACACAAAGTCATTGCAATCATAACTCAGACAATTATGTCAATTTATAAGACGTTTTTAAATACAATAAGTTTGTTAATCTGACAGAAATGTCGTTAAGATTAATTACTATAATTCATATGTAGGTTAATGGTAAAGAAACTTTTATTTTCAGGTTAATATCACATTCAGTAGTGAATTTATTGTTATATTTACAGTTATTTATAACTTAATATACAACTGTATGAAGACAAAATTGTCAGTGGTCGACCTTGTTATAGTGTGTATTGACATGTAAACAGTGTACTAAAATTAAAAACATTTTTTTTTTAATCTAAGATTTGAATTCAGTGAGCAGGGTTACGAAATAACTATACAGAGCAGATATGAATGGGACTGTCGGTAAGAAGCGCCCTAGACGAACGATATTGGCGATATAGTAAAGATGACCCATTTTAAAGGTACCCTTAACCGACGAGCATGTAAAAAAGTATGATGACTGTTGATAAAGCGAAAGAGGTATATAAGAAGTGCAAACGCAACCCCCGTGGGAGACAGGCGTTATGTATGATATGGATTCAGATTTCCAACATTTTGATTATACATAAACTACAAATTTGTAATTTAGAGGTAGAAAGAAAATGGTTTTAAGGTTATTGAGGTTTGATTGCTAATAAAATTAACAATAATATTCCCTTTCGATTAACTCTGATTAAAAAAATAAATAAAATAAAGTCTTCAATATGATCTCTACAGTTGAATAAATAAACTTCCATCCCAAAAAGGTACCTGTAACCGAAAAAAATAATTCCCTATCCGAACGAAATATTCCAATAATAACAGTATCACAGTAATTCCATTCATTGTAAACAGTGATTCTCTGTAATAATAATAATATTTATTATGTAATAATATTACTCAGAAGAAGAAAACAGTGTAATAATAATTATTACAGAGAAACACTGTCACACAATACAATATGGCCGGCAATTAATTCTTATTATAATATTCTCAAGGTAACGGCGAAATATCGATTCATTCCAATTTTCGATTGTTTCATTCGAAGCATAATGTGTGGAAGTCACGCTCATTTTCAATGTTATACTATTGTGAAATACTCGGTTCGGGACAATGTAGAGAATGGTTAAAAGGACGGTAATAATAATTTGAACATTTATACTGCCTTGATACTTTTGTCAGTGCAGGAGTAGGAACGGGGTGGTTTTTAGTCAATAAGAGTGACACTCCCTCTCGCCTCACCCAGGTGGGAGAAGTCAGATGATTTTCCCCCTCAAAAATCTGTCTCAAATTTCATCCCGATCGCTTCAACCATTTTGACATGAAGGAGTACACTCGTAAATGGGTGTTAAAATACAACAATTGTTCTTTTTTCATTCTTAAATAACTTCCGAGAGTGTAACTATACCACTGTTAAATGTAGCTTTTAAGTTAGAATACTAATACCGGACAGTGGTGTTTCTACTAGCGAACTAGGATCATTACGCACTCGATATTCTAACTCACTTCCGGCTACCTACCGACAATGAATAAATTGTAATTATTATATTTCACATGTTTAATTTTTTTTACTTCTACCTGTCCAAACTAAAAACGTCACAGTGAAAAAATAAACGTTACAGTGCAATGATAGTCTCAGAAATAAAACTGAATCATTCTACTCGAAGAATATCACTTACAGAAGCGACCGACATCAAATACAATCTAATACTATCAGCAGTTACCTAAGCGAATCCAATAACCCTCTCCCTAACAATAGTTTGACAAACACATAGCTTAGTCAGATAGCATAATAACGCTAGTTACTTCAAAGGGAGCAGCAGGCACTTCATATGACCGATACAGATTGAAGCCTAAAGGGTTGGTATTGAGGGCACCCTGCTTAGGGGAGAACTGGCTTAAGAGCTTAAAGAAGGCTTTGAGTGATCACAGGATATGTAACCCCATTGCTCTGTGTACTGTAGTTACTTTATAGATATGTGTTAAATCTTTGAAGTCGTTATGAAAGCATGGGAGTTGAAAATGTGATAATAATTAATGGGGGCTTTTCTCTAAGTGGATAAAACGTAGAGTGGGTGTAAGCTTATGCCAGCTACAGTACATAAATCTAAGATTATGATTAGCAAGTTAACGTTAACTGTTACCTCTTCTAATGTTGGGTCATGGCGTTTGGTGTGTTTTTTATGGCATATGTAAACGAGCAGGCGGATCACCTGATGGTAAACAATCGGCGTCGCCCATGAACACCTGGAACACCAGAAGCGTTACAAGTGCGTTACCGGCCTTTTAGGGATTAAGAGTTTAAGGACTGTTGGGGGGGAGGGAGCTGGGCCTCTGATAACCTCACTCACACGACGAAATAGTTGTATTTTATTACGTGAAGCAACGCTTGCGTTGGCAAGCGTTGCTTCACGTCGGTTTTCTGTAAGGCCGTGGTATCACTCAGGTCGAGCCGTCCCATTCGTGCCGAAGCATGGCTCTCCCACACTTGAATTTTCAAGTTAAAGATCAATATGTTCGAATTGTTATTGACACAAACGTTTCCTAATAAAATAGGTAATATCACACAGCTTATGAGTGGTAAGAACATCACGCTATTTTGTTCCGCATTAGTAACTAGAACGAAATGCAACCATAAGGGTTAAAACAAAACGTCTTTATAATTGTCTTATTAAGCTTAATTAGTTCCGCGCCAGGATGCAGGCGGCTCTACAAGATGATTAGAAGGAATTAAAAATGTTACTTCATAACATCTTCAATTTCATGACATGTGGGCTTTTGTAATAGGTCGTTGAACTTGGAAGTGATACTCATTCTATAAGGAGAATATATTAAATTTATTTATTTATTTATTATTTATGTACATACATAACATAGGTACATACAACATAAAGAATAACACATATATAAAATTGAAGTAAAAAGGTACCATCTATTTCTATTGGAGTTTCTTCCTGTGGACCTGTGACACAGTGTATAATAACAGTCAGATATTAACCATTGTATCAATTTAGAAGAATTTTGAACAAAACATTTTTAATCAGTCTCTTAGTGCGCAATATCAATGAATGCACAACTTTTTGCTTATCTAAGCATTAACTACAATTACATCAGGATTCTGTAAAGAAAATATATTCGTGATAAAAAAACAGATAATAATAATAATACGTCCAAATTACTCTTATTGTCGTACTGTTTCGTTCCAAGTTATAAATAGTCATTACGTCCAACTACATAACAACAAACGATCGTAAACACGTATTGTTAGCGCTTTAAATCTCTAAATAATTGTAGTTCCGAGTGTCAATTAGTGACGTCGTAATAACAGCTTATCCGACTTCCATAGAATCGAATCATCGTCTTCGCTAATGTACAAAATACGGATAAAGAAAACAAAAGCTTCTCACTAAATGCTCTTTCTTTTGTTACAGATAAAAATCGCTCTGATGTGAAAAGGGAACAAAGATGGACCTTAAATATCTGATCCTAATGATTGCCTTCGCTACAGTCGAAATAAATGTAACCGAGAGTCGACAGAACGACAAAAGACGATGGAAGAACGACAAGATTTACTCACACTACGTTAATATTTGTGATATACAGGACCGAGGGTCCAAAGTTCATTGTTACTGCGAGAGTATAAAGATAAAAACTGCCACAAAGGCCGATTGTTGGGTATTCAACGGCGGGATAGCTGAAGACGATCCGTTCTGGTCCAATTTTTATTCACAACCAAAAATAGAAAAGTTAACATTCAACGTCAGAGCCGACGGCGGATTGACGTACATACCCGCAAAAGTGATCGTTAGACTGGAACGATTACAATACCTCAACATACAATACGCCAACATCTATAGTATACCATCGTTCGCGTTCACCAACTCGACCACGCTCCGGGAAATAACCCTGCCCAAGAACAAAATAGCGAAATTGGAAAAGATGTCATTCGCCCATCTAATAATGCTGTCAAACGTCAGCTTAGTGGAAAATCAGATATCTGAATTGAAACGGGACGTGTTCTACGTCCTACCCAATTTGCAGAGGCTGTATCTGTCGAAGAACATAATTAGCGTTCTCCACGACGGATGTTTCAAACATCTGAACAATCTCATAAAATTGGACCTCGACAACAATCAGTTGACAGTTGTCATTAGGGAAAACTTCCAAGGCCTGTCTAATCTGATCACGTTGGATATGAGAAACAATAAATTAACGATGATAGGGGACCTTGCCTTCGCGGAACTTTGGAGCCTTCAAGAACTTTACCTGGACGGCAACGAAATAGAATTTATATCCGAGAGGGGTTTCGGTGGATTGACTCAGCTGCGAAAACTTTCGCTGGCCGATAATAAGTTGGGGACATTAGACGACGGTGTGCTCGATGATATTCAAAAGTTGAATGTTTTGGATTTGAGGAACAATAACTTAGAAACATTGAAACAAGAAGCAGTGCAAAATGTTTTGGAAAACATGAAGTCCAATTATGCGTTAATCTCTTTAGACGGTGAGTTTAATTTTGACAAGTTTGTTCGTCATTCGTCTTTGCTTTCAGTTTTGTAATCCCTAACAAATGTCGATGTACTTTGTAACTGCTGACATTTGTTAAGATAAATACGAATTTTGTTCTTTGTTTCCGCTAACGCTTTTGAACCGAGTCGAACAAATGAGAACGTCGTGACAACTCGACCTGCTCACATCTTTGTAGGAAAGTTAGTTAGAAACAGGAAACAATTTTGTTTGACATTAAAAGGGAAACGTATTGCTTATGTAATGAGTAAACATATAATTTATGTCAAACGTGTATTACATAATGGACTCATTATAATTAATGCAGTGCGACACGTTTGACCGAGGATTTCATTTAAAATGCAAACTACCGTTTCGAGGGGTCATAAAACGGCAAAAAAAACTATCATTAATAACATCTGTGCGAGCGGTTAATTACCGGACCGCAGTGATGTATGCTCCTTCAGTAACTCGTTGGGTAACATATCCCGTGTTGAAAATTAACCGGAATGGTTCAATTAACCGCACGATTAGTTGCCGACGCTATTATGTCACGGTTCTTTGGTTATCGTGATGTATTTGTATTTTATTGGTAAGGCATTTAGTAAAGTCGGTCAAAGTTGAGATTTATAAAAGTACTGAATGGAATCAAATCTTATTACATTTTCGCTACAATTTTGCGTTATTTTTGGAAATTGACTGAACTGAACTGACTGAATGAACTCGTTTCCAAACTTGAAGGCACAGGAAATGTCACATACTTCAAACTCAAACGCCATAGCGTACCTACCCTTGCTACGAGGTTTGACCGCGTATGATAGGAAAACAACACTTTCCTACTGAAAAACCAAAGACAGGTGACATAAATTACAATCGAATGGCTCATTGTAAATAATCAAAGACTGCCAAGTGGCTGAAAACATAAAAAAGTTTGTGGGTATTAATTATCACAAAAAGGACTCAAAGTAAAAATATGTCTCTAAACCATTGAAAAAACATACTTATAACAGCACAGTGCCATAGACTGTGCCACGAACTCTCATTTATCTTCTAACAAAATCTACTTACAACAAACTAACTGACCAAAAAACTCCGTCCACAATCTGCATACTTGAACTGCTGGACGTTAGTTACCTCTAACTACAATGAATCAGGTCTTGAAATACTGTGTTTAAGTGCCCTGTGACAATTTAATAGCACCTATATTTTGTTGTGGACTAGATGTTATATTTTCTGCAACTGGCCAGCCATTGCACTCTCTATGATTTAAAACCCTTTGTCCACTGTTAATGTAGTTTTGTAGCGCATTCGTTGTGGAGATGATTCTAGTCATGTTACATGCCTTCGGGTTTTGGTTTATTAAAGAAATATTAGTTAATATTTAGTTGTAATTTAATAGAGTTTTTTTTTTAATCTGACTTAAGGTTTGAAGGTTAGCTTTTCCGCAAAAAGTTAATAAGATTTCATTCTAAGCCAGATTTATAAAATACTCTCAGCAGGAAATTATTTTTTAATCACCTTTCAGAGTTTTAAGTTATTTTTGTTTTAGAAACGCTACTTTCATATAAAAAAATACCAATATTATAACGTGACTCTTTTCTCCAGGCAATAAGCTGACCTGTGACTGTCGCCTGTCCTGGTTGCACAAGCTCCGCAACGAAACGAAAAGCAAACGTGTCAAAGCTTCACTATCTCGCCTCAACTGCATCATGGACACCAAGACAAATATAGGTACGTTAAAAATAGAAAAACCACAGAAAGCTATTCAAGGGTCATATAAAAAAGAGATAGATTATGAAGAAGAAGAATTTGAAGAGAAGCATTACGATGATGCGATGCAAGATCAAGAAACAGACAATGACGATGTTAAAATCGAGTACAAGAGGAAATTGCTTGAAATACCAACTGAGATGCTTCCTTGTCCGAACCGTTTAATTTACGAGGCATCGTTTTCACCACCGACCCAAGACGAGGTCAAGTACTACAAGACTTCATCAAGCCATATGCTAGTAGCAACAACACTGAACGTATTATTACTCTCCGCACTAGCAATATTGTAGCGTACAAATTGAAATGTAAATAATTCTGTGATTTTCATTACGCATTTATTATTGAGCTGCTCTTCATTAATATTATTAAATTCATTACACACGTTGTTATTAAAATAGACTTGAATATTGTGAACGTTATTCATATTTTGAACTTAACTTGCAATTAATTTTCCATTTCAAACTCGATTGGAATTGATTTGCTTTAGTGAGTGCAATATTTGCTCACGTGTCTTATATAAGTGCAATGCATATAACGTGACCTGAGTTTATAGGTATTAGATTTTAATACATATTTTCTTATAAGTAAGGTCTTTTTTACTAAAATTAGTCTTGTATAATCATCTTTTTCACTGATTTCTTTAAGTCTTAGATTTAGGCTATTTATAGGAATTGATAGATTTAGGTGAATTTGGACCCAAAGAGCTAATGATGTATATAAAATACACTCATATAAGTCATGTTTTCTCTGTACATAACAATAAGTATACTAAGAATTTTACATTATGAAATCTATGAAAGAATGGAATTTGTAATTGCAATTAAGAAGAGTGTGAGAACAATGTTGCATGCTTTGAATCAATTTTGATTATTTATCACTTCGCGATAGCATTAAAAAATCTGTGTGAAGCTGTTATTTTTTAAATATTATCCTTCAGTAAGTATTTTCTATTCTAGTGGTATGCCATGGCAAAAGAATTTTAAGCATTATGAAAATATAATCATATATTTCATTTTGTGAAAACTTAAATAATGCAATATAGTATTCTAGTTTTGTTTATACCTTGCATGAGCTTCATCGGGAATTTAAATCATTGATCATACTAATAAGAAATACTTTAAAATGAACAATAATATAATATTTGCTATGTCATGCCTCTAAAGTGCGTAGTATAATTTTATTACAAATATTTGACACTTGTTTATAGTAAGTGAATTGAATAACCATGGACCTTGCGGTCGTGATGGTTAACAAAGTAATGTTTACAATAATCATTCAGGTCCACTATAACAACTTGTTCTTGATTATTTTTCTATATTCTTACCGGACTATTTATGAAATTGAAACAAAAAAAAATTGTTTTTATAATAACTATCGTAAGACATATTAAATTAACTAAACTCGTGAGGTTACTCACGTGAAAATTACTGAGAAAAGCTGTCGGTAGCTACTGCTCATGAGAACCCCTTTCGGTTCGAAACTAGTAGAGCTTGTCTCAATATATTCACGTGAGCAACTCACGAGTTTTAGTTAATCGACAAAAATTGTTTTTCATTCTTTTTTTTAAGTGCTGTAACTAACCTTACTGCTTTATTGATATAAAATATAGACTATTAAAGCTAGGTCACTGACCTGTATATTGATTCTTGGTAACAAATTGTCAAAGGCCGCAATATGAGTGATATACATGTTACCAACAAGTCACTTTGATTGTACTTGACCTTGAACTTGTATAAAAATTGTTGCCTTGTTATTAACAGTGAAACAAATATTGCTTCTATAATATGCTATTCATTAGCTAGGTAGTCGCTAGATTGCCGAAGACGAAAGATTTCTGTTCAAGTCCTTTAAACATTTTCAGAAATATCAAATAATTCAATAAATCATTGTCTAACAAGAAGGTAGATATTAGGATCATGGTTTGGCAGTTGCGTAAGCAACTACTCGATCAATGAACCAGTATATTTATAGGAAAGTAATGTCTGACTTCGGCATTACATCCAGTCTTTCCCAATCACTCGCTCGCGAAAATGATTATCCTAATTCGTCTGGTTTTCAGTACGAGGAACTCATTTCAATCAATCTATAAATAAATCATTTAACCCTAATATGTCAATAGAAATTATAATTAATAAAGTTTATACATTTCAATTAATTAATCTGTCCTCAACTTTGGCAAATCCTTGAAATAGAATCCGAAGTCTACGTCACTGCCGTAGATTGAAAACTGTGTCTCTTCAGAGATTCCCATTAAAACATAAACTTTGTCAATAGTTTGAAACGTTTGATTTCTGAATGGATTCGTTAGTATTTCTTCTTTGAATTTTATTTTCAAAAGACTGTATTAGACCTAAGAGTTCAGTTTTGTAAGCTATTGTAGTAGTTTTGAATTTATTTTATCAGGTTACTTTGTTGTAATATTGGCAGAGGGTCCATTGTGTGATGAACATAAATAATTTTATAGGTTTTCTGCTTCCTGATACAATGGCTTTAAAAAATACTGTTACATAATTATGCCTCTTTATACAACAATCCTTTTTTTAGTTACCAATTCGTAAATAGATAACAACAATGGTGGTTACCGTTTGTTTGTCACTAGATGGCGCAAATGTCGTAAGAGGATATTTTGTTTAATAACCGCAGCTTTCAAATATGTAACGTCCAATGATGGGGCACTAGCTAATTCCCTATTGGATGAAAAACGAAAGGCACACACTAACGCCATCTGCTGAGCAAAAATATAGTTAAGGACGTATCAACATTGTAACTAATTTACATAACCAATAAAACTAACCTAACAAGCTGATTTATGGGATATTAACTAAAAATGTAAGTAAATTTCATTTCAAATTACTATATTTTGAACTGTCATACGACCTAATTGTTTATTAATGCCATATCATTAAGTCGTTAAGTGATATTGTCATACTCTTTACTATGATTGCAATCTTATTTCTATAGTCGTAAGAAACTAATTTCAATAACTTAAAGTGGACCTTTTGTTATTAAACTAATTGTTTGTTTGTTCTTTAATGAATATTGTACCAAAGATTGATTAAAAATTTACGGTCGAATATTTGAATACTACTCGTATAGCATATTTACTCTGTTTACCTTTGGTTTTGTAATTGCAGGTGTAGCCCTAGACAAATAATTTTAAAAGTCTTTTACCAACCTTACATTTCTGTACGGCTTTAAATGTTTCAAAAGTTAACATATTCATATTTGACACGTTTCCTTCTGATATCAGCCACCATATATTCTTAACTCTTAATGTAACGCACTTGTAATGCCTCTAGTGATGGGCGACGAATCCTTACCATCAGGTGATCCGCCAGCTCGTTTGCCGGTTTGTCGCATAAAAAAACTGTGAGCTGTAGTTGAATATTCGACCAATGTCATACCTATATAAGATTTATTTTCACTGTCATCAATCACGTGTTTCTTCACAATGTAAATAAACACATCTTCATTATCAATTATCTAACTTCTATTCAGAGTGTGGAAACAATAAATTGATACTTTTCCAAATTTGACGTTTTATTTATTTTGCCGATTATTGACGATTATATACGATTGCCAGGCAAGGGGGCCCGGGTTCGATTCTCGGGTCGGGCGAAGTATTACTGGGTTTTTTAAAACAAATGGCAATATGCTGACCCCCTATTACATGGGACTCATAACGTAAATAGTGAAAAGTGGGTGTTACGTTGAACAGTGGCATTAAGTGCCGTAATGTACACCTCTGCCTACCCCATCGGGGATAAAAGGCGTGATGTTATGTTATGTTTTAATAAATAAAGTGTAAATCAAAGATTATTAGTTAGAGCCTTTTTATTGATAGCACACTTCATTATTTGTGAGCCTTGACAACACTGTACGGCTACATATGGAGCTGAACAGAACCAGTATAAGCTGAACCTTGAACGTGGGGAAAGATCATACAAAACGAGACCGTGATAATCTGGATATTGTACTGTGTAATTAACTTGTACCATTTTAAATCACTACGGCGCCATTGTAACGATAATGATAGACATTGATTTTAAGTGGTACCTAGGTTCGTGTTCGTCAATGTACTACGTGTTTAATAGACGATCATACGCATGCCTAGGGTATACAAATAATATACATATTTTATTTTTGAATGTGAAGTCTCTTTTTCATATTTTTATGGTATTTTTTTGTTCAATTTTTTTTTTAATTTTGTGAACTTAATTTTTAAGAGTTTTCATGGATACAACACTGTCATTTCTCATAGACAATAAGTTTGTATTGTTCTCTAAAGAGGTTTCTAGAATAGGATATACAGAAAAAAATAATTCCTTAACAGAGTATAAAGAAATATGTTATATTATGTTCTTGAGTGTAGCTCTTATGTGGGTGAAAAATGCTACTTATAGAACTTAAATCTTATAACAGTACAAGGATTTAGGTCTGTCTAGAAAATAACAAACCAATTCTATTTCAGTCAACATTATCAACAAAAGAAAATAAATCATTGTTCAAGTTATTAAAAAGCGAAGAAAAACAATAATTTCTCCTTCTCAATACAAAAAAAGTAACTACACCCAAAGAAACGGTTACAATTTTCTTTCTTTCTTTCATTTCATATAATTGTCATCAAAATAAACCAAAAAGGTAAAAACGTACGAAATGAATTGTGGCCGGAATACATAATTAATGTCTGTGGCGATCAAAGAAAAAAAAAAACAGAACATGATGTCTACCTTTGTCGTGCGATGCTTTTGACAGATGCTAATGTAGGTCTCAGGCGAGGTAACTTCGGATTAGATTGTAGATACTGTGATATGTTGTATAGTGTCGTGGTAGCCCGGAGGTTAACGACACCCGCTTCTCATGCATGTGGTTGTGGGTTCGAAACCTACCAACTTTTATAAATGGTGAAGGAAAACATCGTGAGGAAACCTGGGCTTTTAATGTCTGAATGTAAGTTTGAAATCGCCAACCCACATTGAGTAAACGTGGTGATTAATGCTCAAACCTAGGTTTAAGAAGAGGTTTTTCTGAGCAGGGGTATTATAGGGTGTTGATGTGTTTGGTATGTAGTATATAACCTAGTAGCTAAGTAGAATAGAAGTTACTAGTATTTCATGGTAGTATCGTATTAATATTTTAAATGCGAAAGTATGTATGTATGATTGTTTTTTTTTAAATTAAAACTTTGCCCTTCACTAGGATTTTCTCCTATGTCGTGGGTGCGTTTACAAACATACAAGTTCACATATACATCACATCCAGACCCGAAACAACAATTTGTGGATCACACAAAGTGTTGTTTCGTGCGGGAATCGAACCCGCGACACGTTACACGGCAGCCGGTTGCCCAGCAACCGCACCAACCGTGCAGTCGTTTTTTTGTTTGTTTGTTTGTTACTCCTTTCCGTCAAAACGGCTGAGGGGATCAAGGTGAAATGGTAGATCATGGTCTGAAAAACACAATCATATACTACTACTTATCCGACGGGAATGCGGGCGATGCTGCTGGCAGAAGCTAGTTAACACATACATAGATAGAAAACTTTCAATTATAACTCGTCATTAAATTAATCGTCAGGTTTTCGATATCTTATTGTTATTTCATTATTATGTATTCGGTTTACTCACGTAACTGTTTGACGAGGCACATGACTGGAAACTAGTCGATTTCCTCGTCAATTAATTACTGTTAGTTTGTGTTAGATGATCTTTTTCTGTATTTGATTGCGTGGATGTAAGTGTTACTATAGAAAATATTATTGATGTTTTTACACGTATGCTATCTTTTAAAGCCTTATTACAATGATAGTATTGCTTAATGTAAAACCTAGAGCAAAATAAAAAAAAAATGTTATGATAAAAAGCTATAGTCTTCAAGGCCTCTGCTCAATTGGAAGATAATTACGTAGCTATAATTCTGTAAATTATTGGGCCTTAAAGAAATATTTATTGAACCTTAATACTACCTATATTAACGTCATATCCGAAGCTTAAAGAAACATTCTTCAGTTTCTTCAGTGAACGCCCACTTGTAAATGTTAGGCCATTTTACGTGACAATTTTCATCAATTTAGTATTCTGTAGGCTTTGGTAAAATGGAGTGAGTGGTACTGTCACTCACTAAAGCTAGGAGTACCTACGTAGAACTGGTAATATTTTATTTATTTAGTTTATTACCAACGCCTTGTACATTAGGCGGCCTAGGATAAAATTTAATGTTAGTTATTTTTTTCGTAAAGACTTTTTTTACTTAAGCATTTGAAGACTTTAACCAGCTTATTTGGAAAATTAGAGGCTTAATAAATTGGTTTTGAGTTTTTAACATAGAAAACAGAAACACTGACGATAATTTTTGAGTTCGTTATATGTATACAAAATTGCGGCCTGTCCTCAATTTGCACTGGTAGACAAAATAGCCTATGGTAATGGGTGATAATGTAAAATTCAAATAGTGAAAGAATTTTAAAATTTGGTTCATTTCTCTATGAGCGTTACAAACATACTCGTATAGAAATCTTTCCTCATTAAATATAAGTACATAAATAAAGTTCAACAAAGACAAAGCACATTTAAAATCTATAAACATCCTGAAGTAATTGATATTAAACATAAGTAATTTTGCAGCACGTGTAACAAAATTTTCCTTTCAAAGTTAAAGGTTTTCCGAATTGGTTGTCTAAACTAAACAATATTGTGAATTCACACCAGTCTTCAACTAAAGAGCAAAATAAAAGCAAACCATTAGCAACCAGGAACAATAGCATTTTGTTTATTGACTTCACAGATAAAATAAATGTTGTTTTAATGAACCATCGATTAAATAGGTTCTTGAAAACGTTGCTGAAATATTTTTACTTTTAATAAAAGAGTTTTGTGGCTTAAATTTAAATTGAGGGGTAAAAGCTTTTCGACATCTCGGGATAGGGTTATTAATTTGATGAAGCACGTTGTTATAATTTTATTTTTATATGTCTGTGTCAAAGTCATACCTATATATCTATTTGTTTAAAGTAAATAGAAGATGAGAGGAGGTAACAGATAATTTTTTGACTGAATTCACCAAATATGTTTGTATTATTATATCCATAGACTATTTTCTAAGGGGGGTAAATCATTGAATGTCTTCTCCCACCTGGGTGGGGCGGGAGAGAGTATAAACCACTCCTGTACTTTGAGCCGGAGCCCCGGTAACAATATACGTTTTCTGCGGCTCCGTATCGGCATCAGCCCTATTGCCCCCCCCCCCCCATGATATCCATGAACTACATAACGATTGGAGCAACATTACAGCATAGCAATTTTTTGATAGGTTTGTTTTAGGTCCCATCTGTCATTAAAATTATTATGTAGTAGGTACATGTCAATTACGTAATCAAAAGCTATGAAAACTTTTAACATAAATACGTTATATTATATATAATAATATTTACCCAAAGAAAAGGCCAACCCTCGTCTTCAAGTGTTGAGTCTATAAATTCTCAAGCAATTTCCTTAAAATAGTACCTAAACACACTTCTGAACTGACCTGAGGCTGACACAGGGTTAGATCTCCGAACAGTGAAGTATTCTCTTAGAGATCACCGGTGCTATCAAGTGTTTGCAAGCCTTTTTCAAGAAGGAGAAATAAGATCGATTAAACCTAACAGAGATGGAATTAAACTGTCAAAAACCAAGCGGTCACCGGTGACCGCAACCTATTGTTCTATAATTGTGTCTGCAAAACCGGTACTCGACGAGTTAAAAATACGATCTAATAAAATGTGAAGAGTGATTGGGTTATAAAATTTGTTTCGTAGTTGTAAATGCTATGGTTATGAATGAGGTCTGGAATTTGACGAAAAAAAGATATATTTAGTTACAAAAAAAAAATCATGTATTAAGTTATCAAAAAGACGTCTACACTATTAAATCATCATCTGCATCATCATTCTAGCCGTAAAACGTTCACTAAAAATAGGCCTCCACCAAATTACTTACCTATATATCGACTGATCACAAGCAACCTGAATCCAGCGGCGCGCTGCGGACTCCAGTGCTAAACTGGATATGAAAAAATCATTATAAATTTTTCACCTAAACTGAGATAATATCTATAAATTACCAAAAACAAACTTAACAATATTAATTACTTCAATCCACTGTCTGTATAAGCACCAAAAATACCTACTTCAACAGATTGCTAAGTTACGAAGTAAGTCTTGTTCATTTAAACTTATAACAACCCTTGTAAAATTGTGAATCATGTTTTTATGAACTAAACTTGCAAGGAGTTTCATTATGAGAATTTCAATACGCTATTCACCTAGTTCCTAAGGGTTTTTGTACTTTAATTTCAATTTTATAATAATGTGGGGCTTGAAGCAAAATGTGTTTGATGCTTGACATGGGCAACGGTCGTGTATCTTTGTTGGAACAAAGTTTTGTACGATATTAATGAAAGCCTTGACTGTTGAGTGTTAAATTGTAGGGAGAGTGTTTAGACTGTTAGAGGTTGTAATTGAGTTCGCTTGGAATGGAATAAAATG